TGAACGCCAGACAGGGCGATTGCTCGTCTACATTGTTAGAGGACCAGTGTCAATGTTATAGGATGAAGCGGTATATGTAACAACGCGAATAGCTTGACATTCGAAATCTTGATACGTAAATCTAGTGATCAACGTCCAAATACAAGGTCGAGACACTTTAGCCGTAGCTGTCTTTCGTTTTTAAAACACGCTGTAGATATCACAGCATCTCAACATTGACGTGTTTATAGTGAGAACAAGCAGGAGCAGACGAGTCGATCATTTTGTTTCCATGGGTACACCGCTCGCGCGCGTAAGAATGCTGGTCCTGCCCTGCAGACAAGGCTGTGTCGGGTTACCGTGGAACCCTCGGGCCAGAAAGAGTTAAGCGGGAAACTGTTCGATGCCGTTTATCGTGACTTAGTAATGGGCCCGACAGAGGACGCTACGACACGTCAAACAGACTCATTACTCCGATGTCCACTGGGTATAGGTTCCCGGTGTACGTTACATCATGCTGCGACCCCGGGTGAATTCCCTTCGCCGCATTACCGCTGACGGAGAGCCGCTACGATTCACGGGTGGTCTGTTTAAGTGTTTAACCCGGGACTGCTGCGTGAGTGCGCCCATGCCGCACGAACCGGTGAGAGAACAGGCGAAAGTCACGGACGGACGAAACGACCTCAGCGAACCTCCCCTAATCCTCGCTCGATTACGATACCATTTATAGTAGCTTCTCTAATTATGCATGCCGTCCCACATTTGATCGAACACACTGTGCGTTTGTATCCAGTTCAATGAAATCTTTGCTTCGTATTTCAATGACTGTAATGCGGCCAGATTTGTTAAAAAAAAAGTCTTGATGCATGCGCGCACGCGTGGATGCACGCTCTCATGCGTGCGCGCACGTATTGACGCAGCTTCTTAGACATGCACGATCACATGAACCAAATAATCCTCAATAAAAACGGGCTTTGCACTCGTTGTTCGGCTGCTGTTATGTGCTATCTGTAACGCCTAACGTATGGTTCGTAACGTATGGTCTGTAACGTATGGTAGTTGCTGTTTCATGCGAAGAAGGGAGCACGACTTTTCACTCATCCCCCGCGACTCGTTACCAACGACCGATGACGATAAAATGGATTAATGACTCAAAAATTCCGCCAGACGTCGCTTTGCTAATGCAGCGGCTTATTTGATGAAACACAGAAGGCTAATTATGATAACATAGCGCTGTGTTATCTCAGCGATCCCCATAAATCAAGATGTCCGTCGTAAATTAAATTTATTGTCTAAATGATTGCAGCATTAATTTCTAAATTTTAAGTGCCGCTAGCATGCAATAAGTGTAGGGTTGTGCCAAGATGGATGGAAATTGAAACTAATTAAGACAAATTTACCTCAAAGTAACTACCCGTGGTCAATGGCGAGCTATGTAAATGCTCGCTGTTGGAAACCTCTGCCTTGTTTTTTTTTTAAAACATTGTGACACTATATAAAGCAAGCAACAGATTGCGAGTTGCGTGGCGCGTGCATAATCGCCTATTATTAACTAGTAACTGAATCGAATAAGAAAAAGAAATACCCATAACCACTACATGTGCGAGGTAATCCGCAAATACGCGTTCTACCTGGTAATATTATGAAATATGTCAATATGTCTGGAATTATATTAGGACCGAGGTGGTGTAGATTTGGGGGCTAGCCACCCTCTGTTAAACTCTGTGTTTTGATAAAGGTGATTTTTTTACAGTTGTATTGTAGTTACTATTGCATGCTCGTTTAGAACAACTCATGATTATTCTTTTCCATTATTTTCAGGATTTATAGGATTTGCATGTAGGTACAGTTGCAGATAAAAACACGCTATTTTTGCATTTGGTATTGCGCTTACCTTATATATATATATATAGTAAAACTTATGTAGTAATACTAATGTACCGGTAGTCCCGCTCCATATTACACTGAGGAAGGAAGGCATTCTTTTAATAGAAATTGTGATCGGAACACAGTAAATGTACGAAGATGCCCACAATTGTGACATGGTGTATTCCCCCAATTAAACTATTTGGGGGGGGGAATCCCAGACAATCTTGTCTCACGATCTCGCAACATTCGCCCCCTTACAAAATACTGGATCCGCTACTGGATTCGCAGGATAAACGCGTCGTAAATATTGAAAAACATTTTTCAGTTTGCGGGGTGTCATTAAACTCTTGTCAGAGAGCGTCTGGATGTGCTAGTAAATAAACCAATTCATCTCTTATATAAGTTCCGACTCCATACTCGATCGTTCAGAGTTTTCGTCATCAAGGGTCGACGCTTTCCACGGAGAATCTGTTGAAGGGCACATGAAACGTCGTTTTCAAGTACTCTCCGTCTGTCATACATGTCATGTCATGACTAACATTCTAAACATGATACTGCGCTAACAATTTCTACTGCACAGATTTCGCTCTTTCTAACCTATTTGCTGTGGCTTTTAACTTTATTGGTCGAACTATGTTTTCAGTCTTCATTAACTTTTCTAATGCTGCTATTCTGTTACTATAACAGCGCAATCAGACCTCTATTCACCACGTAACCTACTAAGTGGTTTCAACTTGTTTGCGTGTAAGATGGCCTCAGTGCCTATAGACATTTTGGTTCGTTACTGAAACTATGTTGCGACTAAACCTTTAAACCTGAGCTATATGATTTGACAGCCTTTCCAAGGCAGACATTCCAAGACAGCTGGTTCTTTCTGAAGGCGTTATCGATTCGAACATCACGAATACTGTAGTTTTTCCATATGTAACATACTGTGGACTGCACCGCTAATATATATATATATATAGAGAGAGAGAGAGAAGAGGAGAGCAGAGAGAGAGAGAGAGGAGAGAGAGAGAGAGAGAGCAGGACGAGAGAGAAGAGAGAGAGAGAGAGAGAGAGAGAGAGAGAGAGAGAGAGAGAGAGAGAGAGACGGTACACATTATAATGTATCTGCGTGACCATGCTTCCGTACGACCACGCAGAACTGTCACTGCATAGACTTGTGATGTCGGTCGAGCTGTGGTCGCATGACGCTGATGGTTATACTACAATTTTAAACTCAATTCCATGTCGATTCGACGAACTGGAGGCAGTGGTTGCTGACTGTCAAAATAATTGGCGTTATGGGCGAGACGAGACATTTTGCCGTGATTGTCGCTTGACGTTAGCGCCAACTCGCTTACATGTTGCCCCGGCGTGACGTCATACGGCAGATTTAACAACCTAATCGGGATTTATGTTTATCCTTGTCGAAATTTAGCCACTGCCTTTTTATGCAGGTTAATATTCAGAAATTGCGATGTTTACTATAACCGTGCAGTTACGACGATCGTCGTGAACGGCAGTCCTTGCTATATCCGCTCACCAGGTGATGTCTGGTAAACCAACAGGGAAAGCCGAATGGCAGTGTGTGTACTGGCGAGCCAGAGTGATCAGCGAACACGCACAGGGGCGGTAATGAAAGCACGCGGGGTTTCCGAACCACGACGTGGATTTGTGTAATTACTAGAAGTATTGGGAGATGTAAGTGACGGCAAAATACAGGTTACTGCGTGACAACCATCCAGTGGCAACCGCAGCGTCATCATACAGGGCAGTTACGATATAAATAAATAATAAATAATATATATATATATATATGTGTGTGTGCGTGTGTGTGCGTGCGTGCGTGTGCGTGCGTGCGTGTGTGTGTGTGTGTATGTGTATCATATCGATATAATATATAAGATATATGCTTCATAAGCGTCTCTATATCGCTAGCATAATATCGTCATCCTTGTCCTGGCCGACACTGTCTCAGGCAGCCTTGAACACCCCCTTCTTCTTTTTTTACCACGTATAGACATAAATCCACATACCATAATGCTTCAATGCACTTGTCATTTTAAAATGACGAAGTAGAAAAGTACTGTTGTAAAATTTTGCACGAAAGGACGCGAAAACTGTTGCAAACCGACAAGGACTAAGATGACGAGTGCGCTGCACTGCGGACGGGGCGCTGTCGACATGAGGCGTATAATTCGATCTTCCGCTCAGGTCGAGACGAAATTGGTGACGCGTCAATTTTTTGGTTAAGGCGCAGTCGGTATGTAACATGATGATAAACCCGGGTTGTATCCATGTCACCCAAGGTGTTGAACCGTGGGCTATGTGGAGTTGTGGAGCGATGGACAGCAGGTTTGGTTTTCGTATATAATTACGACAGCTTTCACGACACAAAGCAACGCAGCATGTACGCGCCCACCTGCCCAAGTGCAGCAACGCACGCCATGCGTAAGTAAGCCTATTGCTGCCCCGGGATATTCAAAACAACAACACTCAGATATATGTACAAGCGTCCCGCCAGTTTGCGAATGAATTGAATTTTAAAAGAACTAAAAAATTATGGAGGAATGCGTACCCAACGTTAGACAGCGCGTGATTAGGAGGAGAGACCATAAATCCCATTCACTCTCCCAACCTCTACTATTGTCTATTATACGATATACCACAATGGTAAATATAAATAAATAAATAAATAAATATATATATATATAAGAGAGAGAGAGAGAGAGAGAGAGAGAGAGAGAGAGAGAGGAGGAGGGAGGGAGGGAGGAGGAGAGAGAGAGAGAGAGAGAGAGAGAGAGAGAGAGAGAGAGAGAGAGAGAGAGAGAGAGAGAGAGAGAGAGAGAGAGAGAGAGAGAGAGAGAGAGAGAGAGAGAGAGAGAGAGAGAGAGAGAGAGAGAGAGAGAAAGAGAGAGAGAGAGAGAGAGAGAAAGAGAGAGAGAGAGAGAGCTGCATGCTCAGCTACAAAATTTAATCATACAAATATGCGAGACGTAAGAACAAACAACACGCTTCATTGTCTGCGTTGGAGACATTAGATACATTACAATATTAGAATGTTTATGTGCCTGTTAGTTGTGTGTAGAATATACGACCTCCGCTGCTAGGCCACCTCTGTTTAATTGAAATACGACATCAGGGAATGAAATCTACAAACAAATGTGTTAACTAAAATACTACTTATATTATATTTTATTATTAAGAATTCAAAGTTCGAGTCCGGCGAAGACTTTTGGCAACCGTTGGAAAAATAGTTACAGTATCACAGCGGTTACACATTTTTTACAGACGGCAACCAGATCATGTCGGCCGTACGATCGAACACATTTCACAGGTGTAACGAAGACTTACAAAACGATCAACCTCAGAATGTTAGGAAAACATACGATACTTACCAAATATATACGTGTAGTTGAGTGGTTTCACTCTACTTTTAAAAAACTTCCCGATTCTAATGACAACTATGCGATTGACATTATGACTATAAACAAATGTATTTCCAATAAACATAGGGTCGTGAGTGAAATAATATATCAATTAACTGTTGATAGCTTCACGCTATAACGAGAACTACAGATATGCCCATAGACTTAATATGATCGCGATTAATCAGTGACTAGCACTAAGCATATATCTTTGCGTTCTTGTAGCAAAGAAGTTGGTCATACTGTTTTAATGGCTTTTGCATTCTTGAAATATATATATATATATATATATGAATAATTACCACGCAATATTTCAAAAATGTTATCAAGAAAGGATTCCTGCGGTCGGCATCACGCGCACAAATTTCTGACCAGATAGTACAGTTGAGCGTACCTATACGCCCTTGCTATAAAGACTCACAAATCGCCCCGACCAGCACACACCATCCATTGCCGAGAGAAGCGGCCCGAAACTCTCATTTATTTATTCAACCACGCTCGATAAGAGCGGTATTACTCTAATCACTATAACAGTCCAGAGTAAAACTACGCTGTATCGTTGCTGACCTGTGGCCGTCTCTTGCACCACAACATCACCGCGTGTATACAAAAAAAACACGAACATTGTATTAATGTATATACAGAGTAGCAGATAGCGTCATATATTACTTATCAGCTTTCTAAAATGATCGTATAATTGGACGGAGTACTTGAAAAAACAAGATGGAAAGCCGCGTATATCCGAATTTAAAAACATAAAACATTCGTTTAAATCAAGGTATTGCTTAGTAATACGGCACCGAATACAACTTGTCCCCAGGTATACCGACAGACAAAAGGGATAATCCAAATGACATATATATACCTCGCAGACCAAATGTGTAAAACAATGTGTTACAAATTCCGTTTCTAAAACAATTCTATTGATACAACGTACCACACAGGTAATCTACACTTCTCATCCGTCTTTTTGTAAAAACAGCAATACCAATACATGCCTTATTAATAAATCACATCTATTGTCGCATGTCTTCAGTCGAACATATCTACAATATGAGTGCAAATGATATTTTGTTTCCGAGAAAATGTCTGTACGCCATAAAGTCTAGCCCTCTGCTAGTATCATCAGTGGCTCCTACGTCACTATCAATAGTATTACGGCGATCATAGGTTACAGAAAGCACGTATATAGCACCTGCTAGATTGAGCAGTTCAGTCTGTCTTTATCACAGAGCCCCCCCCCCCATCAAACTATTCCCAATGCTGAACATTCACGGGTTTCAGTGAATTATTCCGTTTATTATTGTTAGAGAGGCTAAGCTTGTTCCTCAAAGACATTATTGATTATTAATATTAGGTGACTGCATTACACGCTGAACGCTTACAGCTCCCAGTAAACATATTTAAAGATTCAACTGTTTTTCTTTAGTGTCACCAATCGTTCACCTTTTAATCAGACGTATTTTCAAAATGTCTGATTAGGCTTCATTTTCACTCATTTTCAGTGATAGATATCGACCAAAGTGACAGTATTCACGCTTCATATTTACATGCATATAGCAATCACACTCATTAGATAACAAGTCCTAACTGAGCTTCCAACTTATAGACAGCTGAACAACAACATCGATTCACACAGAGCCGCGACACAGGACTTGACAGCCGGGAACGTCTTATGATTCTGTACAGACTCGAGATGTTCCCTCTAATGAACAGATCTCGTCAGCAAGCTTGCACAGATGACTAGGACCACATTGGCAAGCACTTGTACTCTCAGTCTCTGAAGGACAACAGATCGCGAAATCACATCGTATTCGTTGTAAGTCACTAGAGCTAAAAAGAAAACCAATATTGTTCATGCAGCAGTTCTGTGTGTAACTCTGTTCTGTGTCACGTCAATCTCTAGGGAATAGTATTTTACACTGTCTACTGAATACTTTACAATGAATACACTAGGGCTTTGATAATGTACTTAAAAACTGCATCGAATAAGGTGTATATTAGATATCTAGAATTGCTCTTTGTTACAGCTGCCTCTCAGAACTACAGCTAAAGTAGTAAATTACTTGAAAAACCAGAAGGGTAACAAACGAGTTCATAAGATATTCAATGCACAGTTGCTCGCACACAGTTTAATAGTAAAGGATGGTAGATTAGAAACTTCTGTCAGTAGTTTGATAGTGTGAGGTTGTGGATGATTGCTCTGATAAACACTTGTATAAATGAAAATATTGATATTTAGTGATTTATAATTTTCAAGTGATGATTTAATATTTCAAATATATAACTTTACAAACATCAAACTATGTCTACTGCATTTTCATCACTGAAGTTTCACAACACGGTTTACAAAATTCTTCTTCATGATATCATGCAATACACAGATATTCGTTTTCGTATTTTGTTTATGTATGCCCGCCCCAACAGATGGCACCACGTACCAGTACTCTTAACATACCTTATTCCTTGCCTGGCTTCCATACGTGACAGCTCTGCTACATAATTCTCCGACCTCAAACTTCATTGTTCATGCAGATTCAAACTGCTTCTGCCAGGTGGTGTATCGTCCACTGAGGTGTGATGCAGAAGGTTTTGTACCACGAAGGGCCGATTCTACATCTGCCGTCGTAATCTCATCCAGAACAATGTTGTTGATATCATCCCCTACGACATAAGAAATTTACTATTAAATGAATTTAAATTACAAATAGTGACTGAGAATGTACGCTAAAAGCTCGTCTTAAAGATTATTTCAATGTAACTATGAACTGCAATTTGCTCCTATTAAAAGTTTTATCCATTACCCAGCTATAAATGTATAAATTTACAGTATCTTTATTTCACTAAACAGTGTCTCTAATTATTGTCTACAATTAGTTGACAATGTGTTAAAATGGTATATGGAAAGTCACCTTCAGTGCAGTTTTCTAGGATGTCAAACACCTTTCTAAGTGGTTGCATGGCTGCTTCCTTGCACACCAGTCTGATATCAGATCCCGAGTACCCATCACTCTTCTGTAGTAACCAAACATCCGAGTTTATATATATTCATTACACATAAGTTTCATTCTAGAAAATCACATCTGATGTCTCTAAATAAGAAAATAACTTAATGCACCATATGAACAACTAATATACACAATAGAAATAATAACAATATATAACATATAATATGAACGAACTGAATGCATGGGGAGGAAATAGTACACAAACCTCCGCAATCTGTTTGTAACTGATAATGCTTTTCAGTTCTAGTCCCTTTGACCGATCGATGACCAATGCTGGAAGATAATGCTGAAACATGGCTTCTCTGGCTTCGAAGGAAGGCAAGTCAACAAGGATCCTCTTCTCGAGCCTCCGCAACAATGCATCGTCCAGCTCCCTGTGCGAAAGCATTAAAATAACAAGGTCGAAATCTGTTTGCCAAAGAAAACAGTCACAAAACTTGGTGATTGAAATCTACTCTGGTACTCCACTTGGATTAATAACAATCAGATCTACCACGATATGTACAGCAAGGAAAAATAAGAGCATACCAAGGTAAGTTAGATGCAGCCAAGAGAAACACAAGGTCCTCCGTCTTTGCTAGGCCATCCATCTGAATTAACAGCTCGGTCTTCATTCGTCTGCTACCTTCATGTTCACTGAAATATCAGAACGTGCAGAAAGACCAGGCCAGCAAGTGTACATTCATCAACGTGTACACATGCATGCATAAAAACTAGGGGCGAGTATTGCGACCAAAAACCGTATTGCAATATATTGCAATACGACAAAACCGTATTGCAATGTTTTCCAATACGTATTGGGAAGTGTATACCATGCATGATATAGTAACAATTTGATGGTTTATCATCATATATTGTATTATTTTGGCTATTTATATATTATAGCCATTTTGGCTGCCTCGTTGTGATATTAGATCGACGCTAGACTGATGCGTGTTCAAGAACCAGTGCGCTCGACCGAGTACTGCGCAGTGCTCCATGCAGTGGTCGCTTACCAGTAATACTGTATGCGTCGCGCAGGCATTGTGCTTTCGTAATATATACACCGCCAGTGCATAATTTTCGAGCCCATTAACAATATAGACATAAAGGCAAGTGTCAAGTAGTTTATTTCTTGTTATACCACCGTATCGTAAAATATCGATATCCGGAAGTTGTATCGCGATATATCGAGTTTTCAAAATATATTGCAATATACCGATATATCGTTACACCCCTAATAAAAACACACCATTTATGCATCCGCATGTGCTGACGCACGCGGACTAACACAGGGCTATATAGTCTTGGCTTAGTGAGTTTATATAGTGAGTGCTTTATGATTAGTCTAGTGAGACAAGCTTGTCTGTAAAATACGACTCCACTCAACTACGGCAGCTTGATGTTTAGGGAAGGATGAGAAATATACAGTCAAACCTAAACATAATAGTCACGCAAGAAAATCCTTAAGTGTCATTTATAAACAAATGTCAATAAGGTCAATAAGGAAGGTCAACTGTGAAGCCATAAGCGCCAGCACAGTGAGGATGACCCTACCCCCATTAATTGTGGAGCAATGATAAGATTTTGTTGCATTACGTACTGTGTAAGCCTGATTGTACACTGTCCTACCTGTTATCATCACAGGAGAACGGCTGCCTATAGCAGGTAAGCTAACATTTACTTTTCGGGGAAATTGACCATCATATACAGAGGGAGTCTACTTGAGAGATGCAAAATCAGTGTCTGCTTTTTCTGATGAGCAGGTATCTACTCTACGTAAGTCATTTTTCAGAGAGGGATTTTTTTTATGATCGCTATAAACAGGTATCCATTCTATCAATTCTATAAGGCATCATCTCATTCTAAGCTGTCGCGGTTTGACTGTATCCTGACTGTATGCGTATCTGAGCGAGTTTCATCAGTGTTTCGTGCATTGGCAGTACTTGCTGTGTATATTATAAAACTTTGTAATAATACTGAGTTTTGGATACTACATGTAACTCACCTGCTAGACCCAACAGAGCCACGTTGACTCATAATAGAATCTATTTCATCTAGGAATATCGTGGATGGAGCATGGTATCGTGCAAGCTCAAACAGTACCTGTGGACAGGAAACATGCCGAAAATGCACAATTTTAAAAGAAAAAGAAAAACAGGGCATGGTATTGATTATAAAGATATATTGCGATAGAGAGTATTTATAACAAAGATAATTTACCTTACACCCTATCTGATCACAATTCATCTAACATAGTACATGCTTAATTAGGGAAGCATAATTAAGGGTAGCTACAACCACAAGGTTCTCTAATTCTGATCTCAATCAATCTTGCTCGATTTATGAAACTAAGTGTATTGTAGATTTCAAAATACATCTCACGTGTACAGTATTTACTTACCAGTTCTTACTAAATAAACTAGGTACTATTATCCACATACAACTGTTACATTGACTATAAACCTGTACACAATCGAATAACTTGTTGATATCATGAGTGTTTTTAATAGATTGTTTTCAGATTTTGAAAAGTTCCTGAACCTTTCACGCAATTTTCTTGGATGTTGTGAATCCTGATGGACGTTAGATGTAAGGAGAGCACTTGATTATATAGAAGTTTATTACTGAACGCCATAGTTGCAAAACGTCACCAATTGCCGTAGTGCTACGAAAATTTGCATGCATTCAATATGACTATATCTTTTAAGACCCACAATATTTGTAGCACAGCCACATCCAGACTATCACGCTGGGCCCTGATTTTGGAAGGAAGGGTAACATACATATCCACTGATCATATTACATCCACAACTGAATTAGCTTTCTTGCCATATATGCACGGATACTGGCAACTATTTCAGCAGCTGATACACCTACCCGGATGAGCTTCTCAGAATCACCTCTCCACTTGCTTACAATGCTGGAGGCTGAGATGTTGAAGAAGGTCGTTCTACACTGAGTCGCTACAGCCTTAGCTAACATGGTCTTTCCTGTTCCTATAAACACGTACATAATTTTAGTCTCAGACTATGAAGATACATCATATTTCGTGGCTTATAGAACAGAATAGCCTACAGCAATATGATATGAATATACACGATCATAACACGCTCTGTAATAAATTATTACTAGTAAAGATCATGAGTCATAATAAATAGTAAATACCTGGTGGTCCATAAAGCAGTAACCCTTTCCAGGGGCTTAGTATCCCAGTGAACAGTTGAGGATACTACAGGGAGTAGAATAAAAGCATGAAAAGCAATCATTAAAAATCTGTGTTAAACATTTACTAGTCTATACACATTTCATTACAATGGCACTAAATCCTGTACAATGTCTCAAAATAAAATGATAATACTTATTCCTGCCAATGTTGCGATCTCTGCGAAGAATGAACGTGTAAAATTATCGTAATGTTTTGGTTAATTTCTCGATAGTCTATTTCGTTTTAATGTGTGAATTAACTTTGCCATGCGACTTATCACTGGAAGTGTTACACAAATGAAAAGTTAATTAGTACATTTGATTAGTGGAAGAATTTGAGCAGATACAATACATGGTTTTCTTAAAATCTCATTACACAAGGCTGTTATGGTTATTGTGTGTGTACCTGATTTTCAGATATGTAAATAATTAACTATAATTAAGAGGAAATTCTGAGAGTAGTGTATACTTTAACTAACCTAATGCCATTCCACTGTGCAAGACCAAAATTGCCTACACTACCCACATTTTTAATAACAGAAATCATGTGTCATTGCGCACCTTTATTGGATAAACGACAGCTTCTTTGATAAATCGCTTAGCATTATCAAGACCGATAATGTCACTCCATTTGACAGCAGGATTCCTTAGGTAGATGTCTCTAGTGATGACCTGTGCCAACTCACTTAACTCACTGTTGTAATTGGAAAAAGCACTCACCGGCTTCAACAACTTGTCCTATAAATATTAATGAAAACCCCAGGTAAATCGTTTATTTTAAAAATTACTTATTATTTGTCATGCAGACAGCCAGACACAGGATGAACAACATATATGTACTATGCCAATACAGTATTAATATGACTTACAATTCAATGTTATTTTGACTTATTTCGTGTATTAAAATGATGCTATTAAGAAAATGCCATCTTGGTATTATAAAAAATAACTTACAGTCACACTATCAACATCACTCGCATTCATTTCATTTTGTTCCTTGCCATTCAAGTTGGTATCAATCAGTGGCTATAACAAAGAATTGAACCATTTATCAAATTTTCACACCTACTAATCATTCTTCTGTGGTATTACATGGTGCAACAATATTAACATTATAACAAAATAAAAATGTACACACGTTTTCACAATTTTAAATACCATATAGAGAACATTGTAATAGAGAGCTGCCAGAGCACAGCCACAGATTTAAAACCATAGCATGGGAGAACTAAAGGTAATGGGTAAGAAGAGAGAAGTGGAAGAGCACCACTAGGCTATTTGTAAACATGAACGCCTCAACGATGTGTTCACCAAATACTGGTTTGAGTGTCCAGCCTATTGTATTTTTACTTTTCCCAGACAGGCTTAGAATGTGGGAGGTTCTGGAAAGGGTTTTACAGTATTATCCCTTCCTGAGTTACATATTAAGGTTAGACCCAGCTATTCTGACACCCTCGGGATCAAGCCGGTCTTAGGCAATTAAAAACTCTGAGCAACTGCACGTCATGTAAATAACACTTAAAATAATATCTTGCCACCTCTTGACCTCTACATGCCATATCGAGGGACAAATAATAGCCAGAATTATTCACAGACCACGTGGGAGTGAGACTCATACATGTAAATACAGTGGGTAGAGTATTAAATGGACTCCTGAAATAGTAGAGAGTGGGGAGTGCCAACGCTTCACGTGCAGGATAGAAACTGGCCTAAGCTGTGAGCAGCCGTGCAGTAGAGAGCCTGCCGGTTATTTAACCCTTTGTCTGGCTACGCCTATATCTGTATAGCTTTTGTTTATACACCGGGTTGACATTTATTATAAGACGTAACGTAAGGCCAGCAGAGCAGGGTACGGTGCCCCGTTGTCATGTTTGTGGTGTGGCATTGTTGACTAACCACGCTATCGCACCGGAGCCAGAACGAACGCCGGGTTGGGTACTACGAAGTGAGCACAGTAGCAATGAGGTGCTCTGGTGGCTAGCGGAGTCCGGGTGACGACGATACGGCCATTTCAACGCATCCAGACATACTAGGTGAGTGTTCTTACCTAAGGTTATTGCTAGTCACTACGTGTCGACTGGTGGCGCCATCGGGTGTCGCCGGGAGGACACAAAACGCTACACAATGTTTGTTAATATTATCAAGATATCATGGGAAAGGGTGATGCCGCCATTCCGCCACTCATGACTATGCTGACCTTTGCTGGAAATCGATCACTAGCTGACATGTGCGATTTGTTCTGTACAGATATTCCAGTTGCTTGACCTTCCAGTTCCAGAGAGGAGTTTGTCTGTAACCCATTAACCTACAATAAGGAATATAAAAATATACAATTTGAAGCACATCCCTTAAAATTGGAAAAATTAAGTGATTCTATGCTATATTTTTCTCAAGTATCTCGAACAAGTGAACTTCATGGAATGTTTCAATTATAATTAATAACTGTTGAAGTGGGCACTAATTAAATTTAAAAAAAATTAAAATAAGAAAATGAGTAAAGATTGTGCCTGTTTAGAGTCTTTCGTTTTTTCTAGCAGATGCCTTTCAGAGGCAGTTGTCTTTGCCTTCTGTGCTCCTCTGTTTGTAGCATTGCCTCCTCTTGGTCTGCCTTGTTGGGCCTCAACATTACTATTCTCCTTACTGCCCCCAACTGGTAGCAAATGATAATGGGTACCGTACATTTTAAAACAGCATAGTTAATAATTGTGGCAGCTAGGTGCCATGGATTATTTTATATACTGCTGCATGAATTAGTATGACATTAGTGTTATCAGAATTATTATTCTAGATCCAGCAAGCGAGTTCATGAACTATTTGTTCGCCTGTTGCAATGATAAGAGTATAATGGGTTGGTTTCATTTATTCATTTTAGATAATTCTACCTTTAACATTCTTTTCTATGGCAGCAATAATTACAAAATATAATGAATAGATTTGAAAATTTTGCACGATATCGTGATGACACTCTTTTGCAAATTCATGCAAAGCAATATTGTACTCATATCTCTGAATTCACAAAGAAATTCTAGGATTACCTGTCGCTGCATATTTGTCAGCAGGTAGTGAACTTATTGCTGAAGCTGGTAGAGCAGCGGGTATGACGCCAATGGCTGGAACGACAGCTGGAATAAAGCCACTCTGGGTGAACTGCTGTGTCTCAGCCTCCAGTTTTGGTAGGGAGGCGCTACGATCTTTACAACTGCCGATAATATGAAGAAACACCATACACTGTAGAGCAATCTGTTCACAGCCCATAGTGTACATCACATTTCTTAAAAAACCTACGCAATGTCAATGGTTATCTATCATGTAAGCTATTTAGTGATAGCTCCATTGACTATGGTCAAACCACAGCTTCGTCACATGAGCACCTAGATTGATCTGGAACACTAGAGGTAAGTCAGTCATCACATGACAAGCAGCAGTTACCAATATGTTTTGTGATCTGCAAAATTATGTCATTAGGCCACTCCTATTTTTATCAATAGTAGCAGAAACTAGCCTCAGAAAGGAACAGTACTAACTATTTCTAACCGTGATTTCAGACCTAACTATAAGGACCAATGTGGTAATTGGCGATCTGCTGCCTAGTGGTGCAATTGTCATTCTGATTAGGAATCCAGTTCTATATACCTGAATGGGACAATATATGTGCAAGTGTAAAACTAAAAGTGCTAAAAGGGCTAAATGTAAAAATTTCAATGTAAAACTTTCTCTTCAATTATGACCTTTTCGCACAACTTACTGAATTTGTTGTCGCTCTTTGTGCGTTCTTCTTGAATGAGGATCAGCTACAAAGAGAATATCAATCAAACATGCATCACAATACACATAATCATACACAGTGAGACCTGTATATATATATATAAGGGTTAAGCAAGAGAACTGCCAAACGTGTCCTGTATGGATGGGCACCTGTAATATGTGTTGGGGTTTGGGTATAACTACCATTAAAAGAAAAAACACCAAGTGTCCTCTACAGACAGGTGTACCTTCTAGAGAAGTGTACACTAACACATTGTAGTTTGAGCATATTGTTGATTGTATGTAGAATAAAGCCTTTTCAATAAAAAAAATAAAAATCAGTTTAAAAGTTATAATTAATCACAATAAACTCACAATAGAGCATATGTTAATTATAACAGGAGTGTGATCATTGAGTACTGGTGAGATTATTACATCATCTAGCTACACTAGGCCTTACATGATTCCTACATGTAGTAAACACAGTCACTGTCTTGCTATATGCACGAATGTGGTAATACTAGCTATAATGGGCAATTTAGTCAGTGATTACCTTCTAATTATAGGGAATTCTGATCACTAATCACAGTGCACCCTTAATATTAAAGTATTATCTAAATAAACAGATACCAATATATTACACTAAACTCATACTAACCACTTTTGGTGGTTATCTTCTTAATAAACCTTGGCTGCTTCTGAAACCGGATATAGTAGTAGGACTCGTATTCCTGCAGTACTGTCTCCAGATCTATGTTGTCACAGATCTCGTATTTGCCAAGACAGAGACTCGTTTCACCTTCCAGGGTGTGTGCACTTGTTACATAGCTGAAACCAATGTATTTTGGACAACTAATTGAGATGCCATGCGTGCGAAAAATCTCAGAGCAATTATTATATAGCTAAGGGCAATGACAAAATTTTCCATTATTAGATGGCAATTACTATTGTCATTTTGTCACTATAGGCCTATTTCTTCCTATAAGTGTTTGGTTGTGAATACATCAATTCAAATACACTTGTTACTATGCCATAAAAATATTTGCTAACATACCCTTCTTGGTCAAGAAAATGCAATATCATTAGCAGCAAATGTTTCTTTCTTGACTCTATGCGTTGATCATTCTACAGAAACGCAATTGAAATCATTAAACATCAGGATGACAATAATATCCAAATAATTACCTAAGCTGACAAGTAAATTAAATAATTATTTTGCAGTAAAATTTTTTAATTCAATTTTAATGATAACTTTAATGTAGGCTGCAACATGTACTATTTTCCATTGAAACAGATATTAGGCACCCTACATTCGAATTTGACAGACAAATTAAATGCTCTTACCATTTCATTAACATTATTACACCATTTCAGATAGATTGAAAATGAATGCTTTCCATAAATAAAGAGTAATTAAACTAATTTAAGTAATACTAAAAGCGTAAGAGTATTGATATTGTTCACATGGGCGTAAATCCCGGGGGATGGGAGGGATGCATCCCCCCCGCTCTTGAAGGATGAGGGGATGCCTGCCTACAAATATACCCCCCTTGAGATAAAAAAAAAAACTCTCTTCCTGCTGGCCCCACTTGAAAGCCTTACCTAGAATTAATGATAATTTTGGAGACATAGGCAGACCTAAATCATTTAATTACTGCAGGGCGTGTACAGGCGGGGGAGGGGGTCCAGGGCGGTCGGACCCCCCCCCCCTGCTTCGCACAGAAAACGACATCTGGGGGGTCTAATTTTCAAACATTTCAGATAGTGACATGGAAGGGCCCCTTCCATAGACACTTACGGTATCATTAACACCGCACATATACTAGCGGTAAACGATTGAATACCCTCATTGTTCATATAAAATATATTTATCATCCACATCTTAAGTTAACACATTATAGAATAGTGTTATTATAAATATATACAATTTTATTGATATTTTTTAAACAAATTGTATCACTGTACATTATAATAAATCTTTAGGCAATACATTATATGTACCAAGCAAAACAAACATTCAACATAAAGGTATCTCCACACAAGCACACCGAGCATGTAGACACATGCTAAATTTGTAAAAAAAAAATTAAAAAAAGCCTACTACCTACCCAAACTCTTAGCCTGGGTCGTGAGGGCAAACTAAGATTTTTTTAATTGTGGTCTTACCAGTGATCAGAATTTGATCCACTACAGGATTTTAAGCACATTATCTTGTGATCTTCTGTGATTCAAAGATATTCATGATTAAAAAAGTTTTTATAATCACTTTGATAAACCTGCCATAAAAGTAGGAGGGCACCAGTTGAATAACCCTTAGTAAAGGTATCACTTGTGGCATACTTACTGTGTATTAAACACAAATCATTCTAAAATATACGTACACATCATTGATTTCTATATACTTACTGCTTCTCTTGCTTGGTTGGCAGATCTGATAGCCACGTAACTCAGTTTGTTCAGACATGTCCTAAATTGACTAAGAGGCAAAATACCCCCAAATATTATTTTAGTATAGATCATCAGTGTAAGAGAAAAATAGTGCCATTGAGGCGAGCAGGGCTCGTGCAATAGATATTGTTCAATGCAGCTGTTGCTGCTACAGTGGGTGGCAGCCTGCTGCTGCTGCTGCTGCTGCGCATCGTTTGTTGTAATGTGATGTCATTGTGGCTGTTTTGTGTGACGTACGTGACGTTTTGGGCTAACAAAAGACTACGAGATACAATAATGTAACACACAAGAGTAGGGACCCTACTCTTGTTGGTTTACATTATGTATCTACTATTGTTGTGTCCTACTCTTGTTTGGTTAGCATTATTGTATTCTACTATTGTGTGTCCTATTTCTTGTTGGGTTACGTTATTGCATCTAAACAAAAGACGTGCGCAGTAAGCAGTACGCGAGTACTAAGAAACTGAGCAACTTTTTCAATGACCAACCTATCAGATATGGCACACGTCCGTAACTATGGGAATATATAATATATAAGTTGGTGTGGTTACTGGGACATGAACCCATTTAACCAATACCAGATGCTTAGCCCGACAGGTTCTATGACTAGCTGTTTCACGTCTCCGCTTTCGCATCTTTATACTTCTTCTCCCAACGTAGTTAGAACCGAGAAGGCTAACTTGGACTCCACCGATGCTATGCTTCTGATGCTATTGATACTGTATGTACGCCATATTTTTCGCGTACAGATATTTTCGCCGATTCAGACCTGACGAACAAATTTTGCGAGTGGTTAATTTCGCGGTTGTGATTCCCGAATTCAGTGAAGAACGGCGTGTTGTTATTTTCGCGTGGTGTTATTTTCGCGGTCGGGGACGCCGGTTCTGCGAATTCGCAAAAATTAAACGCACCACGGAAATGATTATACAGCGTAATACAGTATTCGATGCTATGGCGGTGATTTGATGTGCATCCCAGAGCAGGGTGCAAAATTAACGCGAGTCCGGAGTCAAATACTCCCTGACTTACTGTCGGACTCCCTGGTTTGACATATGCAGGAGTGCGTGTTACTCCCTAAAAATTCTGCTATACTAACTATAGTTCATTCCAGAGCACGGCCTCGCGGAATTGCAGCATTCTTTCAGCAAATGTCCAAAGAAAATTGGGCAGACGTACAACGTACCCCATGAATCTTCAAAATAAGCACATGCGTTATATTGTTAATATCTTTAGTTTTGAACTTCAGACTGCGGACTCCCTCATTTTGCTACAGACTCCCTCTTTTTGAGGGTAGGGAGTACGTTGGACTTCATTGTTCAAAAGTTAATTTCTAACCCTGCCAGAGACAGAGTATTGTAACTGAGTATGTAATGAGTATGTAACACACTGCGCCTAACACTCTAGTACCCTAAATTAATTTGTCTTGTTTTGTCTATCTTAGTATGTCTATTTTACAAGATAGTCCGGTATATAAAGTGTGATACATCCTGCTCACAGCCTCCCTAACAAACTACACCACCTCCCCATTCCACCTACGCCGCATTTCCTGCTGAAATGCCAAATGAAAGGGTTGTCATGGGAGTAAAGGAGTAGGCCTACCATACATCATATACCACTACCAGGCATTACTACGTGTACTGTAGTACTACGGTAGCACATACTCTTTTCCAAGAGATGAACAGGATGTATTTAAATGCTGAAGGTTGGTTTAAAGAAAATATTACAAATTACACACCACTAAACTACGATTTACACGATTCAGACAATATAATATTAAATTATTCATAATAATATTGTTCTCGCGGGTCAGGGTGTTTTGGAACAGCAGCAGATGTGGCGACATCTATCGCCAAAATAAAATGTTCTTAAATGAATCTACAGCTTTCGTAAAATCTGCCTTTCGCGTGACGAGGAAGGCCGACTTCCTATTGTAACCGTTTGCCTTTGTATTGCCTTGTATTGCCTTACCGATTGTATAAGTAACAGGAAAATTTCCACAAAATCTACCGATAGGTTTTGAGACCTCTTGAACCAATGACCATCATCATCATTCTATCGATAGATGGCCGTGGATCCAGGTAGATGTGTCTTAGGTAGGTAGGTAGGTAGGTAAGTAGTGGTTGGGCAAGTGAGTGCTTGGGTGGATAGGTCGGTATGTGCGTGAGTATGTACTATGTAGGTAGGTGGGTAAGTAGGCAGACAGGCAGGCAGGCAGATAGACAGACAGACACACAGGCAAACAGACAGACAGACGGACGGCTGGCCGGACAGGAGCCCGCGCGTGCGCGTAATGGTTTGAGTTCATTAAACAACGTAGCCTTGTATCCACAACACTGAGCCAACGAATTTTAACTGGATGCAAGATATCATATGCATATGCAAATGCAAGTCAAATCAGATAACCTTTATTCTCCAATATCGTGATCTACAAAAGTACCTACACACGATCATATTCATTACATTATAATACACGTCTAAGGCTAAGAGCACCATCCCTCAGGTGAGGAACAATATGTTACAACACTACGATGCCTAGTCTTACCTCTCGAACATTGTGGTAGTAAATGTCTTCTATAGCACCCATGCTGGTGATAAATTGTGGCAGCATTTCCACAGCGCCACGTGCCGTCACCTACATTTTACTACCTTACTACAGCAGTGAGCAAATACAAAGATGTACTATCTCCTATCATATCATATATATATCAAGAACAATGTGTTAATTAATTATGCGCAGCCCATTCACTGGTAACATCTTCAGACTAACGAGGGTTTGAAAACAGCGAACAGAGTGAATCTCTAGACTGAATTAATGGACTCTTGACATATTAACAGATTGCACATGGAAAAATAATGTCAATGTGTACATTAAAGCAGAAGAAGGAAATAAACATAACACAATGTAATTATTGACATCAAAATACACACATCGCAATGTGATCTGCAAAATATTTGCACACGCAGAGTATAATCTTCATGTTGAGCATTTTACAAGTAGCGCAGAAGCTTGATATGAAATCGCTAAAACAAAATTAAAAGTTAATAAATTTGCCATGAGACTATATTGTGCAATATGCAAAAGCGGACAACAGAAATGTAACATAACACATTTTACCCAGGCAAGGCTGAATCATCATTGCCACATTTTCTACCAATGTACAAATTGTATGCCAATTTGGATTTGGTGGATTGGCAGATGTCCATGGGGAATAAACGACTATATGGCATAGGCTGTATAGACAACCAAAAACATTGGCAGTTGGTAAAGCTGGCAGTAGTGTTTTGAAGCATATATCCAATTAGTGTTGCTGTTTGTACCATCCCTTTTGTAATAACTAGTTAGGTTACAGCTTGGCAAGTGATAACCCTAAAATAATGCTTTCCTATAATATATTATTACTCCTATTTCCTTTCTCGCCAAGCTACATGCAGAAACTAATGTTTACAACTCATTGATCAATAATCTACTGATATTATACAATTATTACAATTATACAACAATTACTTTCAGCAATTTAGT